CACACACCTGCAGTTCATCCCTAACACACCTGTAGCTCATCCCTCACATACCTGCAGTTCATCCCTCACACACATGCAGTTCATCCCTCACACACCTGCAGTTCATCCCTCACACACCTACAGTTCATCCCTCACACACCTTCAGTTCATCCCTCACACACATGGAGTTCATCCCTCACACACCTGCAGCTCATCCCTCAAACACATGCAGTTCATCCCTCACACACATGTAGTTTTTCCCTCACACACCTGCAGTTCATCCCTCACACACCTGCAGATCATCCCTCACACACCTGCGGTTCATCCCTCATACACCTATGGTTCATCCCTCAAACACATGCAGTTCATCCCTCACACACATGCAGTTTATCCCTCACACACCTGCAGTTCATCCCTCACACACCTGCAGTTCAACCCTCACACACCTGCAGTTCATTCCTCACACACATGCAGTTCATCCCTCACACACCTGCAGGTCATCCCTCACACACCTGCAGCTCATCCCTCACACACCTGCAGTTCATCCCTAACACACCTGCAGGTCAACCCTCACACCCCAGCAGTTCATCCCTCACACACCTGCAGTTCATCCATCACACACCTGCGGTTCATCCCCCGCACCCCTGCAGCTCATCCCTCATACACCTGCAGTTCATCCCTCACACACCTGCGGTTCATCCCTCACACACCTGCGGTTCATCCCTCAAACACCTGCGGTTCATCCCTCACCCACCTGCGGTTCATCCCTCACACACCTGCAGTTCATCCCTCACACACCTGCAGTTCATCCCTCACACACCTATGGTTCATCCCTCAAACACATGCAGTTCATCCCTCACACACATGCAGTTTATCCCTCACACACCTGCAGTTCATCTCTCACACATCTGCAGTTCAACCCTCACACACCTGCGGTTCATCCCTCACACACCTGCAGTTCATCCCTCACACATTTGAAGTTCATCCCTCACACACCTGCAGTTCATCACCCACACACCTGCAGTTCAGCCCTCACACACCTGCAGTTCAGCCCTCACACACCTGCAGTTCATCCCTCATACACCTGCAGTTCATCCAGAGGATTCATCCATGTTTTTTTTGTTGTGGTCTAGTGTTTCTGGTTTTGTTTTCTGTATGTTTTCTTGTCACCACTTCAACAAAATTTCAGCTGTTTTTAATCGTTCACGTATCAAAACGTTCGGCTCTTTCATGACTTTACAGCTGTGATTATAGGCTTTTGCATCTTTCATAATTTTTGGGATTATTTAACATTTCTCATAGAAATATGTTAAGGTCTCTTCAAATCATAGAAAAACATTGTTCTTTTTAAAAAATGTTGTTCTACATTTTAACTATTGTTTACTTGTCTTAGGTGTGGACTACTCTTCTTAATTCTAGTTATTACAATTGTTTTGCTAATTTAGCTTTTAGCCAATGTAGCTACTTTTAGCCTTGAGCTATTGTTAGGTTGGTTTTAGCTTTTAGCTACAATTAATAATTTTAGATTTCAGCAACAGTTTTGCTAGCTTTAGCATTCAGCTACTGTTTGCTAATTTTAGCCTTTGTTCTGATCATTTCAGCTTCTTCAGGAGCCTTCAGTGAAGTGTGCTGTCAAAGTTTTTCTAGTTTATATTTATTTTCCTTTTTGTTTAAATGTTACCGTCTTCATTAATCCAACGACACCCGGAGACAAAGTTACTGATAAAACTTTTATTATCAGAAGTTGTTGTTTTGCATGTTGACACAGTCATGTGACCCAACACCTGTCCTCCATCTTTGATCAATGGATGAAACAGAAACACCCGAAACGACCACAGAACAGGAAGCACAAGAAACAAAACTGGAACCAAAAACAGTAAATAAATAAACATCTAAAATGTTTTTAAAAAAAGACAAGCGAACCATGAAAAACACAGAAATCCCGACGCCGCTGCATGCACCAGTACAGGAGTACCAGGTCTACCCTGCACAGGACCAGTTGCTAAAAACTGGAAGTTCTTCCATGCTGTGACATCATCTAGCTGACCTTCACAAGCAGGATGGGTCCACTAACAAAGCCTAAACCTAATCTGTCCTCAGGGACATGTACAACCAGAGTGTCTCCTGTAACCAGCATCTCGAGTGTCTTCAGTCTGGAATCAGCCTGTTTAAAGGGTGACGGGTAGTCACAGGGCTGTTTGGTATCAGGGGGAGTAACACTCTGAACATGGAGAACAGGAAGCTGAGAACAGAGTGTCTCAGGAGCCACAGGAAGCTGAGGACAGAGTGTCTCAGGAGCTTAGAGACAATGATTGACATCATGTTGAAGGTAAAGACTAGGGATGGGGCCGATTCGATCCAGTATCGGTATCAGCCTCCGATACCAGCATAATTTACGTATCGGATTTTCCGATCCAACCTGCCGATATTTCCGATCCATGATGCACGTTGGCTTCAAACTATGGACTGGATTTCTTGAACGGCAGCATGTCTCATGAACCCAGAGTAATAAGACCCGCCCCACATTCAGGAAATCCAGTCCATAGTTTGCAGCAGCTACAACGTGAGGGCTGAGTTAGCAGCACTGTGGCTAACAGCTAACAAACTTTTCATCTAAACATGTCGCTGTGTGGAAGTATTTTACACTGAACACCACAAGACAAGACAGCAACGTGCACTGTCTGCAGAGCCACAGCACCACATTAAACCGTGGTAAAGTTAGTTTTATGTTGGACCTTCGAGCTCCGGGGCTTCAGGGGGCGCTGCTCTTTGCTCAACCCAAAAGAGGCGACTCGACCCCGGCCAGCAGCGTCCACTCTGCCCCGCTCAGTCTGCCCGTCTCTGAGGAGGGACAGACTGGGCGGGGCTGACCCAGATCAGACTGCCTGCTTCGGACTGAACAAGAAGAAGACGTCGCTGAAACCACGGAGCTCTAATGTTTACAGAGAAGTTGATAAACTTCATAATTAATGACCAACCACTATCAGTTGTAGAAAACAAAGAATTTCACTGTTTGATACTTGCAGACAAGATCTAGTTTACCCTCCAGGAGATATTTATCAGTACAACAGGAGACAATCATAAAAAACATGATTTGAAAATTATATATATTAAAAACATAAACAGCTACATTATAAAGTGATGTAAAATACTAAAAACAGGAACATGTCTGTTGGTTTATGTCATGAACTTAGCAGATGTTTGAAGACATTTAACATTTAATTTAATTTAATTCATTTATTCATTCATTTAAAAGAAACAATTAAAAAAATCATCAAAAAGAAAACATTGAATGAAAATAGCACAGAAAGAAGAAAAAAATTCTTAGATCTGCCCCTTATTTTAAAAAATATAAAACAACTTTAAACAATCACTTAAATTAATCACTTGAATATCCACTTTAAAACTAGGAATAAAAAGAAACATGTTTTGTGTTAGCAGAATTTAATTCTAACTTTAAAACTTATCCAACATTAATAAAACTTACCTCAAGTTGCCTTTTTGGACACGCATGCATATATTTGTACACGTTGTACTTGAGAGCAGATTATTACAGCCTCGTATAAAATCAATGATCATGATATCAGAACTGGATCGGTATCGGCCGATACTCAGATCTAGGTATCGGGATCGGATCTAAAGAAAGTGGATCGGTGCGTCCCTAGTAAACACTATCAGACCATCTCCGTCAGCTCATTGTCCCTCTGACTCCAGATGCACACATTATTCAGAAGGTCCACAGGACTGGAGACAACCTGCCTGGACGTGTCCACAGGAGGACAACTGAAGACAAACTGAAGACACGGATAATAAGAATAGTCCAGAACAACTTCCACAGAGATTAGAGGTGAACTCCAAGGTCATCAGGGTCGGATCACAGCATCAGTCTCTGAGTCAAGTGGACTTCATGGAAGACGGTGGAATGTGTCTAAATGCAAAGAGACACTAAAGTTCTGTTCTGGAGTTGCTTTAAAAGACGCTCTTCGTGTCCCAGTGAGCTGACGCAGACAACACGCACGTGGACAGGTGTTGTGGAACAAAGTGTCCAGAATCTGTCACTCTAATCTAGAAAAGTCTCAGTTTGTGCTTTAAATCTACTCACAGTTTCATGCTGCAGAGCATCATCCCGTCACGAGGAACACTGTAAACATCTGCACCTTAGAGGACTCACTACCAAGACACAGAGACCACCAGGACCGGGGAGTCCTGCATGCAAAACATCAGTTCATGCATCTGCCTGGTCTTGAGGAAACAAAGATCAGCAGACGTCTCTGCAGGCTTCACCCAACAGAGATCCAAAACGCTTCACAACATACCAGCTATAGGAAACGTACGAAAACCTCCAGGTACCTTTATTAAAACAAACCAGGAGGGGAGGGGGGCTCAGACACTCCACCGGCTCTTTTCATGCAGGGGAGCAGCGTTTGGATCCGACGCTGCTGTGTGCTTTCACAAACCGTCGACAGTCCAGAACATGGGGGGGGCTCAGCCCGTGGGCCTGCATGCACATGCCATGCTGAAGGTGCTACAGGCTGCAGGTTTACACACGACTTGTGAAAACTGAGGCTTTCTGACACAAATCTGTTTTTAGAGAAACTCGAGCTGCTGGATGTCCTTCAGCGGTCCACCCTCAGAGAGGCTTTGAATCTAAAACTGCTGCATCTGGTTCAAGTAGGTCCAAAGACAAGACCGCTGCAGGAAATCAAAACAGTAACGCTACACAGGACAGTACTTCCACACCTGAGTACCTGGAAGTACCAGGCATGTACTAAGGTGGAGGTGACCAGGAGACATCCTGGTCAGAATAACCTCCTCAGGTTTCAACAAGAAGCAGCAGCTCCCCCAGGATGGCAGAGCTCCTCTTAAGGCTGAGCCCTACAGAAGAAGCTCCTATCAGCTGTTTGGATCCAGGATCTGGTTCCTTCGGTCATGATCCAAACCTCATGAACACTTGAGGGTTGAAACGTAGACAGATCAGTAAATCCAGAGTTTTGCCTTCCAGCTCAGCTCCTTCTTCCCCCCAACAGACCGGATCAACACACTCATTACTGCAGACAGTCCTGTTCTGTCCTACTTCAGGAACAGGACTCCCGGATCCAGAACATCTCTGCTGAAGGTAAAGACTCATCCCGGTTGGCAGCATTAGTGATTTGACCAAACAGCAGCTGTGGCTAAAATAAATCCAGCTGTTATAAAATCAGCTGAAGCTTTAGACTCAGAAACATCCCGTTTTCATCCATAACGAGGCTCCGTGTCCACTTCCTGTGTTGGAGGAAATGCCTGGCTGTGGTTGGCTGGAGGATGAACAGCTGTTTGGGCCAGCAGGTGGATCTGTGTTCCCTCAGTCCAGGTTCTTCTTGTTTTTACGTTGACCCCAAAGGGTCCTGGACTCTGGACCTCTAAAGTCAGTTCATGGTAAAGCTGTGGGTGTAGCACCTTCAGCATCAACACCAAACACAAGGCAGTACAGAGTTGTTTCAGTTCCGGTCGTTGTCGTGCTCAGAGGAGCTGCTGGGACGGAGCTCAGGGTCCGAACGGCCTGGAAGACTGGTACTCACTGGGCACTTTGGGCCTGATGCCCTTACTGTTGTAGTAGTCCACCACCTGGTTGGGCACTTCTGCTAAAACGCTCTTGGCCAGAGCAGCTGGAGGGGCCTGAGGAGACACACACACACAGACACACACACACACACACACACAGACACAAACACATACACACAGACACACACACACAGAGATACACACACACACACACACACGGGTGTCAGTCGGCTTTCACTTCACAAAGAAAACTTTACATTTAGGGATGACCCACAGTGGTTAAAAAAAAATCAAGGTCTTTTTTAATTAATTTTTAGTTTTTAACACAAACAGGACAGGGAACATAAAAAATAAACCCCCTCCCCCTCCCCACCCACACCAGATCATAAATGTCTTTACACAGGTACACTATCTACATCTATATCTACTATCTACGGCTGAGGCGAGCTGGTCTGGAAGCTCAGTCCTCACCTCCTTCTACAGGTGTGCAGTGGAGAGCATCCTGTGCTCCAGCATCAACGTGTGGCATGGAGGCTGCACAGCTGCAGAAAGAAAACCTTTGCAGAGAGTGGTGAAGGCTGCACAGAAGATGTTGGAGTCAGTCTCTCCACCATCACAGACATCTACACCTCCAGATGCAGGAAGAGGGCCACCTGCATCATGAAGGACCCCACCCACCCAGCACACACACTTTTTGTCCCGCTCCCCTCAGGAAGGAGGTTGAGGAGCATTAAGTGTAGAACCACTAGACTGAGGAACAGCTTCTACCCTGAGGCTGTTAGACTCATGAATCTCTAACCAGAATAATCACTGTGAAAAACCACATCATGTTGCTGCTGATCTGTTTCATGTTGCTGCTGATCTGTTTCATGTTGCTGCTGATCTGTTTCAATGTTGATGTGTTCATGCGTGTACATCTGCTCACAGACTCATGTTCATGTTTGTGGTGATGTTCAATGTTTTATGTTATGAGTGCTTAGTGTATATTTAGTTGATGTTTTTCTTAGTTCATATCTTAGATGTTATTACTGTTTTTCTTATACATTTTATTGTTGGATGTAACTGGGACCCTGCGTACATAATTTCGCTCCACCACATGTACCACATGAGGTGCGAATGACAATAAAGAAACTCTGACTCTGACTCTCTGACTACATGTTTTCAACATATGACCACACCAAAGGCTGCCAGGTGTCCCAGAATCTTTTTGCAGAGCCTTTCAGGGTATGTCTTATTTTTCTAGATGAATATGATACATGACTTCTCTTATCCAATGTTCACATGCTGGGGGGTGTGGGTCCTTCCAGTTGCACAAAACCAGTCTCTCAGTGAATGAACTTTTAACAGAGGACGTAATAAATGAATCGAGCTTTAAGGTCCAGCTCAGATGGATGGTCTACAGCAGAGAACTGAAAGGAGGTGTGTGCTTCAGCTACGAGGAGGTTCATGACGTCAACACAAACTGTGATTTGGTTTGTGGACAGTAAGAAGTGACTGTAGGTAACCAACCACAGTGGTTGTGTTAAATGAAGCTCCCGTTACAACAGGTTGATGGATAACATCCAGTTTGTAAAGGAGGGTTTTTGAGGCAGACCTGTAAACCACACCACCATAATCCAGGACTGGAAGCACCTTCATTTTAACCAGGAGCTGAGTGTCTGAGTGTCTCAGGAAGATTTATAGAGGATTATACTTTTGAGAGCAGGACGTTTATGTGTGTATCATATGAGTTTGTTGTCAAGCTAGATAGCAAGCTACTTAAAGTTTTCCACAAAATCAATCTCAGTACCCGTCAAGGAAGACGTGTTAAAGGTGCTCTCAACTTGAAGAAGGTTTCTGTTAGAAATCATTCATTTTTGTGTGTTCAGAACCAGATGCAAATTAGTGAAGGACCGCTGGATCGAAGTGAAGATGCAATGAAGACAGAGCAGTAGTCAAGGAGGGACAGGACGTATGGATGATGGTATCATCAGCATATACATGCACATGCGAATCACCTGCTGCCATATGAATATTGAAAAGAGTAGTCCCCTGAATGTTTTCTTGTGGGACAACATTAGATAGGGGCAGGGGATCAGACAGAAGACCCTCCACCCTTACTGACTGTAGACAATCAGAACAATAACTAACAGCTTCTGGAGTCTTCTGTCCCTTAGCCTGTCTAGAAGTAATTTATGGTTCACAGAGTCAAAATCCTTTGATGGATTAACAAATGCAGCTAGCTGTTTGCTGTCGGCGGCACAGATGATGTCATTAAGGACTGAGTGTAGCGGTGAAGCAGCTACGTCCTGATCTGAAGCCTGACTGAAACTGGTACAGGAGCTGCCGGTTGATCCGATTCTCCAATATTTAGGAGAGAAGGGCAAGATGGAGATGGGTCTGTAGCAAATTATCTCTGAGTTATCACCGCCTTTAAAAAGTGGGGTGACAGCAGCGGATTTCCAGTCCTGGGGAAGCACACCCATTTGAAGTGAGAGATTACAAATACAGGAGATAGACGCAGAAATTATTTGAGCTGCTAATTTTAGGAAATGGGGATGTAATGCATCCAGAGCAAAGGCTTTATGGGTGTCCAGATTGAACAGTTCTGTATGGACTGAAATGAGAAATGGGGGAATCTTTGGGACTGGAAAACAAATAGGTGCAAAAGAACTGTCCTAGTATGGACGTTCAACTTCTGTTGAAGTGGTTTACCAGTTTGGATTTGTCTGCAATAACAAGACCATCATATTTAATAACAGTGGGCCGGTGTGAGGCCATATTTTTATCTTCCATTGGTCTGATTGTATTCCAAAACTTTTCAAGGATCAGGACCATTGGCTGTCAGTCGTTGCTTGAAATAGTTTGATTTTGTTTCTCTAATAGACGGCGTACTCTTATATCGTGAAGCCCTGCATGGCTGCCAGTCAGTTACTTTGTTGGAGGTTTTCGCTCCATGCACAGTTTGTTGTGGATGAACTCAGACCCGTCAAGACAGAACCATGCTGATAATTTTCCACCCTAATCTTTTTGAGAGGGGCGTGTTTGCTCAAAGCAGCACTGAATTAGGTTTTGAAATATGCTCAAGCATCTTCATCCTCAGGTATCATCCCAATTCTGTGCCAGTCCACGTGCCAGGTCGTACAAGAAAGCCTGCACATTGAAATTTACAAATAAACCTTTGAAAATGATCAAAGGAGGCATCTTGGCATAGTACCATAGGCGTCACATCCATTATATATGAAAGGAACATGTCCCCCCCCCACATTCAAAAAAACGTTCATTTGGACCCCCCACATTTACCATGAAACATTAGTTCAATCGGAACTGTTTTTATTTCTTCATGAACAAATCCATTCCACTTGATTAATAGGAGAATGCTCAAACCACTAAAAGTCCCCTCCAGGTTTTCCTGGTTACCCCCAACTCTCCGGCAGCCTGCAGTGTTTCTCCTCTGCGTCTCCTGCCTCGGCAGAGAATGCTCACAGGTGGAGACGCCTCTGTGTTGCTCACCAGCTTAGCGAGCTTAGTGAGAGCAGTTGTTGACAGGGGGGTTTAGGATCATAAACATATATTCATGTTAGAATGATTGAGAGATGTGGAGCGCTACGTCTATAGCATCTTAGCTTAGCATCAAGCTAAGTGTGATGCTGTACAACCCCTTTTCCATTAGTAATGGTACAGCATGGCTCAACTCAACTCAGCATGGTTCCAAGGCATTTCCACTTGTAATACGTAGAACCGTTCCCTTTTTTCAGAACCCTTGTCTCTGGGGTTCCAGCCAGGCCGAGCAGGTACCAAAGTGTGACGTCAGAACACTGTCGGTCACTGATTGGTTATGGGGTGGAGTCACTGTGAAACTGAAAACTTTCCACAACATTTGATCTGCCATTTTCTCTCCAACTTGCCTTATCAACTCACAGGAGCTATTGGACTTATTTTTAAGATTTTAAAAACAATGACAACACCGTGGCCTAATGCTGATGTGCAGGCGTTTTTTGTGCTTGATGGCAGACGACAAAATTTAAAGCAAGCTAGGTGGGGCTCCGCCGGTCCCCCCCAGTCTTCTGGCCCAGTGGAACCGGTACTGAAAGCATAATGGAAACACAACGTGTACCGTACCAAGCCGAGTAGAACCGTGCTGTTCTGCTACTTAAGGCACTAATGGAAAAGGGGCATAAGACGCTGTGTGTTACGGTGCATTACAGTTGAAATGTCTTTAAACCCCCACACCTTATTGTCCTCAAGAAAACCTCCTTTAGATGTATACTGTTGAACACAAGTAAAACAAAGTCTAGTGGTGATGTTTTTTATTTCTTTATAAACAGAAATAGTGCCGATCTGAGGCTGTGTGTTAATAAAGTGCATTCAAGTTGAAATGTCTTTAAAACCCACAGCTGAATAAACTTGGTGAGAAACATGTTTTAAATGTGTGAAATTAAAGTCAGGAAATCTAGATGAAATGCTGCTTTTTTTGTACACAAGTGTACACGTTTTTGCACACTGGTGCGTGTGCGTGTGTGCACGTGTGCGCACACACACATATGCACGCATGCACACACACACGCACACTGTGTCCCCCCACATTACAGATGCTTCTGACGCCGTTGCGTAGTGGCCTTACGAGTGCAGGCTCTATCACAGTGATCACTGAGGCTTTGGCAGAACACACCCGATGTTTACCTCTCTGGTCTATTAGTGAGGATAATATCAATTCAAGTGCACAAGTCCATGGTCTAAGAGTTGTACCTGGTGTGGGCCTGCACAACCTGGGGCAGATTTAATGCATCTAATTGTAGTTTTAAAGATGATGGATGGTTGAGTGTATCCCAGTTCAAGTCACCTAAGAAGACAAACTCTGAGGAGATCAATTCTTTCTCTTACAGCCACTGAAGAACAGGATGGAGCAGAGGGAGGTCTATAACAACCAGCAACAGTGACAAAGAAGCCTCTACATAATGTGACTTCTAGAAGTAATACCTCAAACTGTTGGACAACAGACTTTGAGACAATTACTGAGCACTGTAAATTATATTCACAATAGATACAGACCCCCAACCCCCCCTGGACATTCTGTCCTGGTGAAAAATGTTATAAGCACTGTCACGTTTTTGCCCCCTCCCTCAGTTTGTTGTTTCATGTTTTGTTTACCTGCCAAGTTCATTCAGCTCAAGTCACTCTGCACCATACCCCCTTGCTTTGTCACAGTCATCAGTCCTCATCTGTCACACCTGTTTACCTCCCTTCATAAGCTCCATGTTCACGCTCCATCAGTGCCAGATTATCGAAAACCTTTTGCCAGCAGATGTCCAACGTACCTTGTTTGACTCTTGCCTTGCCACGAACCATCGCCTGTTTTATGACTCCTCGCCCTGCCTGCCCCTCTTGGATTTGTCTGCTTCTCTGACCACAGTAAATGACTCTGCGCTCCCATCACATCTATGATTAAGGATCACAATTTGGCTCTGGCTTCTGCTCTCTGCTTCACCGTGCTGGACCCCTGCTACGACTATTGGACTCCGGACCCGGATTTCCCTTCACAGACCACAAACAGCGCCAGTCTGCTCCACTGCTGCAGCTCACTCTCCACGAGTGACGTCATCCGTACCAGTGCGACAACAGCGTGTGTCCCACTACAGACTGAGGAGGTTAGTGACAACCACAGTAATTCACAGAACCTCTTCGACACAGACCAGGTCACTAATTTCTCTGTCTTAACAGATTTGGACTTCCTCCTGGATCCAGACTTCCACCAGAAGCAACTCTTAAATAAACTGTTTAAATGACTGAAACATCTGGACTGAAGTGAGTCAGTCTGCTGCAACAGAACTTAATATTGGGTTTTACTTCAGTTTCTCCTCTTCAAAGAAAACAACAAGAGAACTAAATTAGTGCCATGAGGAACTCCTTTTTTAAACTTTAGTTCTCATTTAGTCATTGAAACTAACTCACTTGTTTGAAGTTTCGAAAGGGGACAAACTGGACGATGTCCCGGAGGACAGGCTCTCCTTTAGGGGATCTCAGGATCCCGTCATCGCCATCCAGCATCTGCATATCGCTGAAGTCTGCATTCCCGATTCCGACGATGATGATGGACATGGGGAGGTGGGACGCCTGGACAATGGCCTCCCTGGTGTCGGCCATGTCAGTGATGACACCGTCTGTCAGGATCAGCAGGATGAAGTATTGCTGGGGGAGGAAACTGTCTTAGGTTGATACAGCTCTTCAGTTTGGACCGACAAAGAAGATCCAAACCCTAAACGTGGTCTTACCATGGCCTCTTTGGTGTGGACCTCCTGCGAAGCAGACTTGGCGACCTTCTGGATGATGGGGGCGATGTTGGTGGGACCGTAGAGCTGCAGCTTGGGGAGGCAGGCCTGATAGGCCTCCACTACGCCCTGAATACCTGAACACACAGGAAAATGGAGACACACAACAGTCAAAGACCCGAAGTCTTCAGCTTTGGTTCTGGGAAGTTTTATCAGGAGAAATGTTCACGTTTCCTCAACTCTCTGGATGTTCAGAAGCTTCCCTGAATGCCAGCAGCAGCACTGATCTGATCCAGGGTCTGAAGGTCACAGAGACCCGTGCTCAGACTTAATGAGGCCTGCTGGTACTGAAGAGCAGCTCATCAGTGACCTTTAACAGCCACCGGGTGGAGGAACTGGACTCAGGTGGAGGAACTGGACCCAGGTGAAGGAACAGGACCTGTGTCCCCAGAACCAGAAAAGCCTCTGCCTGTGTGAGCCACATCCAGCAGTTCTGAGGGAAACTCTGCAGTTCCCATCAGAACCTTCAGACTGAGGATTGAGAGGGGACATTTAGGTTCAAGACCTGAATCTGTTCACCGGTTCTTCTTTTTACCCTCCAGAGGACAAACCTCCCCTGGATTTGATTAAGATAATAAATTATCCCTCTGTGGAAGACCTTCACATCGTCTTACTTAATTTACCCTGACGGAGTCCTCATGAGCTCCGGTTCCATCCGGGGTTCAGAGCCCCGGAGGCTCCAACACACTCAGTTGAACCAATTCTGACATGAAAGCTTTCCTCCATCATCTGAGGCTGCGTGTGAGATTAAAATCATGCCATGACCGGAACACCTACCAGCACACTCCGGGTTCTCCTGGTTAAAATTCACCGCAAAGTCATGAGAAACCTGCAGAGGAGAAACAAGTCTGTAGGAGACACGTAAAACCATCATACATCCTTCAGGCCGGCTGAAAACTAACAGCCGAAGTTTTGTTAAAAACTGACAGACAAAATTTTATGAATAAAAAATAAAGCCGAATTATTATAAATAAAAACTAATAGCTAAAGTTTTATAAATAAATAAAAAACAAACAGCTGAGGTTTGATGAAAAAACTAACAGCCAAAGTTTTATAAAACAAGCAGCTGGAGCTCATGGAGTGATGCTGCTCTCACATCAGGTTTCCAAAAAGAACCAGTTCTCCCAGACTAACCAGCAGCAAGTCCAGAAACACATAATAAAGGTTTATGGTTCTTTATTTGTCGCTCGCACCTCATGTGGTACATGTGGTGCGAGCGACATTATGTACACAGGGTCCCAGTTACATCCAACAAACGTACAAATTGTAAATAAAAACAGTGATAAGATTCAAGATATGAACTGGGGGAGTGGTGGTGCAGAGGGCAGAGAAGATGGGCCTGTGATCGGAAAGTCGCAGGTTCAACTCCCGGTACCGTCAACATCAAATGTGGGTGGAAAAGGTGAAACTCCCACACCTGCCTCCACCTTCATTTACCCCACTCTGAGCTCTTGAGCAAGGCCCTCAACACCCACCATGTGCTCCCTAAACAGGTCTCTCTTGAAAATGAGTTCTCGTGACTCAATGAGACTACCTGGATAAATAAAGGGTAAATGAAAAAAAAGAACTAAGAAATATGCTAAACTAAGAATACATTAAGTACTAATAGTACAAAAATAAGATGCTGAATAACATCAGCACACAAAAACAAAACAACACTTAAAAACTACACGGCTACTTAGATTTGATAAATGGATTTATTCTGTCTAACAGAAACCTGGCTACAACAGGACAATTTTTTCTTATAAATGAAGCCTCTCCTGCTAATTATTTACATTTTCAAGTTCCTAAAAATGGATGTGGGTCACCAGGGCCCCACCCTGGAGCCAGGCTTGAGGGAGGGGCTCATCGGCAAGTGCCTGGTGACCGGGTCTCTACCCATGGGGCCCAATCGGGCTCAGCCAGAAGAAGCAACATGGGTTTGTCTTCCTGTGGACCCACCACCTGCAGGAGGGGCCATATGGGTCGGGTGCATGAACCCATGGGCAGCGGCTGAAGACAGGGTCCTTGGCACTCTAACCCTGGCTTACCAAAGCTGGTTCTTGGGACATGGAACATGACCTCTCTGGGGGGAAGGAGCCTAAGCTTGTGCGTGAGGTTGAGAGGTACCAACTAGATATACAGTAGTTGGGCTCACCTAGAAGGACTCTGGAGCCAATCTCCTTGAGAGGAGCCGGACCTTGTTCCACTATGGAGTTGCCCATGGTGAGAGGCACCGAGCTGGTGCAGGTCTACTTTTAGCCTGTGTGTTTGTGAGCCATAACCATGGCAGAGGTCATTGAGGTAGTTAAAAAGCTCCGTGCTGGCAGGTCTCCGGGGGGTGGATGAGATTCACCCTGATTTCCTTAAGGCTCTGGATGTTGTGGTGCTGTCTTGGATGACACGCCGTTGCAACGTCGCGAACATGGGGGGCAGTACCACTGGATTGGCAGGTGGTTCCCATCTTCAAAAAGCAGGAATGGAGGGTGTGCTACAATTATGGGGCATCACTCTCCTTAGCCTCCCTGGTAAGGTCTATTCAGGTGTACTGGAGAAGTGAGCCCGATCTTTGGTTGAACTTCAGATCCAGGAGGAATAATGTGAGTTCCTCCTGGTCGTGAAACATTGGACCAACTCTTTACCCTCACTTGGGTCGTTGTAGAGATACACGTGAGGTACGTGTCACTTGTTGTATGACAAAT